GGTTGCCGGTAGCAAGACTTTGGAACAGGGCAGTGGAGCGGCCAGCAGCATAGTCGCACGGTGACACGGTCAACGGGCGGCAGGGCTAGAGTCATGCGATCAGTGAATTAGCGGCTTGGCGGACTGCCCCTCTGCGCGCATCTCTGACTCTCTGAAATCTGGGTTTGGGACTTCCGACTTCCGTCTTTGCCACTTCGGGTATTAGACTATCAGTGTACCTTGCCCCCCTCCACCCGTTTTAAGCACTTCTTCACGGTTTTACTCATCCCATATTTTTAGACTACACCTAACTGTAGATTTTATAGTGTGCTACGTATATTACAAAAAAATGGCCCCTCCACCCCTGTTGAAGCACTTTGTCACTGTAAAAGCATCGTGAAAGCATCGTGCGCCTTCTGCCTTCATGTTCCAACTTAACTATAAGGCGCATAGCCAACGATTGCGTTCATTGGGATGCCCCCCCCCGTGTCACCTATAATTCCAAATAGATAATCTTTCTTCAAATATTAATATATCTTGTATGAGATTTCAAGAGCGAATTGTTAAGATAACACGGCGTATGAGATTATGGTTCGACAAATTTAGCTTTTTATATATAATGTCTAGCTCCATGTTTTAAGATTAGCTCGGCGCGTGTTCCCAAGTAGTATTCCTTTTGCACAGGTATATCAAAAGAAAGGTGGCTCAAGATTTCTTTCATGTCTAACTTAAAGAACTCTAATACTTCGTACGTAACATTAACTTCACAATTGACAGTGATTGCACGCTTGCACCCATCTCTAGAAGCTTTTTGAACCCTTTTTTATTCTAAATTACTCCCTACTCCATATTTTAGATCACTACCAACTCCAATTTGCCGTTTACGTACATGAGAGCATGTGAAGTTACCAGCCTGTCACCTTTATCTCTCTATAAAGTGAAAGAAAAAAAGGAAAACTATGCCACATCGGCCCCAAAGCAGTGACGTCCATCGTCCACGAAAATCTAAAGTCCCGCACGTTTGCCAAGCAAAAAGGAAAACTACGCCACAACGGCCAGAGGACATGCCTCGCATCGGCCAAGAATAACAAAGCCAAAACAAGTCAAAAGGAATATTCTACTCCCTTTCGGTTCATCACATCTCAACTTAGAGAATGGGGGAACTCCTGATAGAGTATGTGGGCCTAGACCCTATGGCCCACATACTCATAAGACTAATACAAGGACAACCGACACCCACATGGTCCTCCATCATCCACAAGCCACCAGATCACGGAAAGCGACTCAGAAGCCCTGGAGCAGCCTTGGTTTTCCTTCGGCTGGTCTTCCGTCGGCCAGGCACTCCACCGGCCTGGCCCCTCGTCGGCCATAACTACATCAGTAGACAATATCTTGTACATTTTATACTCAGCTCTAGAAATCATGTACATAATCAGTCCATTAGAGGTCTTATTTTGTAACGGATCTCCCAGATCCAAGTCATGGGAGCCCAAACCCACATTTTCCTTATAAATACTCCCATAGGGGGTAGTTGTAGGGGGTTGACAAATATTAATTACAAGCTTTCTCTCTCTAGATTAATACTTTATCAGGGTAAAATCATTTTGAATAAGTTTATATTTTTCAATACAATTTTTATTTGTAATGTCATTTTGAATTGTTGATCTATTATATGATTTTTGATAATGATAATGTATGAGGAAAGAATGAACATCACTAAGCAAGATTTGCTTAGCGCGTTGGATTTTGTTCTTTCGCGTAGATACATAGTCGATAGAGACAAAGTTCAAGGAGGAAAGCATTTGGGAGCAACCTGCCAATCAATACAGAGTCATACTTGCATTGAGTAATATCTCAGTTTTAGTTTGCATAATTAGTATGTAGTCAGCATGCTAGTATAATGTAATAACTAATGACAACACTAAACATTTACGTGCTATGTATATAATATGAGTTCTTCCGCAAATATGATATTTCATAAAGCTCTATTATCATTAGCTCGTTTTTTAAATAAAAATATTTTTTGGGAATAGTGAAAAACATAATGCAAAGTTAGTCTGCGCTTTGGTGTTACAGAACAATATGAGTTGCATAATCCCGAAGTTTTCACAAATGGGAATTTGGCATGCAAGCCTCATCACCCTAAAGGTGAGCCATCTTGGAACCGTTTGTGATGAGACCACTAGAGGTGGATTGTGTCGTGATAAGAATATTAGGAGAGATGAAGATGGTCTCAGAGGATGTGGGAAAAAGCTCCATGATGAAATCTAATTGTGTGGGCTCCGCATATGGAAAATGAGTTTCATAAAACTTTACATCCCGTGAAGATGTGAAGCAAAGCATTCCCTAGTTTCAAGATCAAATATGTGCCAACATTTTCCCCAAAAAATATATCCAATAAATGCACACTTATGACTCCGACTGGTATATTTATCTCCTTTAACATTTTGATTATGAGCAAATCACAAAGATTAGAATGCACAAGAGTTATATAATGAGGCAAAATCCCAAATAATAGTCAAAGATTGACATATGTTGAACAAGAGTTGATGGGGTTCTATTAATTAAATGGGTGGCAGTAAGAACACATTCTCCAAAAAAAAAAAACAATTAAATTGCTTTGAAATCTCAAAGCCCATACCACATTAAGGCTTTGTTTGCAACCACTTATGCTTAAATAAAAGCACTTCTTGAGAAAAAGTGATTAGTAGTAAAAGTTGGTAGTGTTTGGTAAAATAAGTGTTTTTTGTGTAATAGAAAAAGTAAAAAGTAGATTCTACACGAAAACCGAGATAGTAAAAGTTGGTAGTGTTTGGTAAAATAAGTGCTTTTTTTTTCTTAAAAAAACCAAAAGCACTTATAAACAGAGTTTGCAAACAGAGCCTAAGGATATGACGGTGTTTTCATTCTACTCTTTGATTTGTTGGGGAGTCCCCACACAAGATGTTTGAAAAATGACACCATTATCAAAAAATAATTTTCAAGCAATAGAATTAGGTGTCATTATCACTCAATCATTGCAATAAATATCATTTGTGCGTAAAGTCCATCTCGTCGCTTATCCAGTCCAATCATCTTCCTTGATCAGCAGGTCCTCTATAACACATATATTAGCGGAAAATTGAACAAAACAAACCATTTGATTAATAATTTGACAAACCGACATTAAACTGCACGTGAGTTGTGGGACATAAAAGACGTTATGCAAATATAGTTTCTTAGATAAGCAGGGTGTCTAACTTTGGTAGCAAGAACATGGTGACCTTTGGGAAGTCCAACGTAATCGGACGAGCTGGAATATCATTTATATGAGAAAGACATTAAATTTCCACTAACGTGATTTGAAGCTCTGATATCAATTATCCAAGAATCGGAATCAAACATCCCACACATGCGGTGAGAGGATGATTATAAAATGCAATGACTAAAAACCCTGCATTGCTGGTTGGAAAATCTAGGCATTGCATCAGTGCTTGACACGGTTGCCATGGGAGAAGGAGGTGCTTGTAAATCGTGTGAGCCTCACATCGTTCAACTGTGTTGATCAGCCATCCAATAACGAGCTTCATGTCAAAAAATCTCCCACAACATTGGGTTCATTTTCTGATTATCATGCGGTTACAAGTCCAAGGCAAGCTGCTATGTATAAATTTCTCGTGGGACTTCTATTCGAAGATGACAAATTTGCAGTGCCAAGTAGATGTCCAACAGTTGCATTTCCACGAGGGGTTGTCATGCACCGGCTAGGAAAAAAGTGAACCCCATTGCATTTAAGATCTGGCTTGATATGATATGATCAATTTAAGTTGGTCTAGACTAGTTGTGGCTAATAGATGCATGATATATGTGTATTTTATAATTACCAATGTCTGTTCTGATATAATCAATTCGATTATAGTGTAATCTGGTCTGATCTGATTTGAGATTAGAATAACAAATAAATAGGGAAAATGTACATATATACCCCTGTAGTATAGGTGGAGGAACAAATATATCTCTGTTCTATTTTTCCGAACAAATATACCCCTGAACTTTTAAAACGGTGCAAAAATATCCCTCATTTTTTATAAAGGAGCAAATTAATCCTTATTGACTTTAAATTAATCAAATAAATTTAAAAAAAGACCAAAAATAAATTAATAAATCAAAATTAAAAAATAAAAATTTTAAAATGTAATTGTGTCCATTTCTCCCTTTTTTTATATCACAATTTAATATTTTAAGTATAAAATATTATTTCAAAATATGTAATTTTATAGTGCAAAGAATGCAAAAAATTAATTTTTCTCTACATTGCAAAAAATATGTTGCTCCTTTTCGAAAGAATCTTAAACATATAGTAAAATTTTGAAATAATATTTCATGCTTAAACAATATTAAATTTTGATATAAAAACTATAAAAGGGAAAATTAGACACTATTACATTTTTAATTTTTTTTGTTTTTAAATTTCGGATTTATAATTTATATTTGGTGTTGTTTGAAATTTATTTTATTAATTTAAAGTCAATAAAGATTAATTTGCCACTTTATAAGAATAAGAGGGATATTTTTGTACTTTTTTAAAAGTTCAGGGGTATATTTGTTTCGAAAAATAGAACACGGGTATATCTGTTTCCACACACCCATATTACAAGGGTATATTTGTATCTTTTCCCGAAATAAATAAATCAACAAAAATGCTATTGTTACACACTTTTCATACACACTTGTGTCCGAGAATACGTTATGTCTGTATACAGACAAAAAATAACTCTTCACAGACACGACTGTGTATAAGTGTGTATGAAAAATGTGTACATCAACTCGCATGGGCGGACCGTAGTAGAGACCCAGGGGGGCAGTGGCCCCTCCAATAATTTTTTTTTAGTGTATATATATATCAAAAAATAATTTTCGCCCTCTCAATTTTTTTTTTTAAGATACCGCCCTCCCAAGATAAATTTCTTGGGTCCGCCCGTGACATAAAGTGTGGTGGTTGATAAATCAAACAACTTAAAATTAGGATTTGCAATTTGCAATTGGGGTTCGCTTCCTACTGTATTTAATTTGGAACCAGAAACACATCTAGCAGCGGTGGGTAGATTTGGCCTTTGGGCAACGCAGGCCGTAGGATGTAGAATCGTTCATCGACCAAACATTTTTATTTCTTTTATTTTTTCAGTCCAATTTAAAAAAAAACAAAAAAGAAATTCGGAAAAACACATCGCAAGGCCCCGCGGTTCCTATTTCCGGTACGGCCCCGACTACTCACAAAGCCAGGCTTCGCCACATCAGCAGAGCCATCGTCCTCCTGCCGGCGGCGGTCTTTCTGACCTTACCGCGCTACCCGTGACCGCCAAGCCCGACCCGAAAGCTAAATGTGCAAAACCAGCTCTATTTGGAATCCTGACTTACCTTCTTTCTCATTGCCGGAACCATCGCTGTAAGCTCAGTGATCCGCTCATCTTCTATTTTTTTTCCTTTAACGGCAATATAATTTGACTTGTATATCATTCACTGCTCCGATCTAGCTACAACTAAATTCTTTTTATCGTGAACCAAAATAACATTGGAAGATCAGCTGATGATGGGAAATTTCACATCTTTTATCTGGATTGCGTTCTTTCATGTCTGAATTTTGTCACTTGAGCTGTCCTGTAATAGATCCTTCTAGCTTTGTTCATTTCTGTTCTATTCGTATGCGTTTTTATACAGTATTTGGGTTTTGTTGATCCAGCTTTGCCGTTTAAATATTACTACCGGTGGGACGGAGTTAGTTTGGGTAGTAACTTTTTGGCAAAGGATTTTGGTTCCAGATTCAGTATGTTTTTTTTTGTTCCAGTCAACAGCAGAGGGATGCTTATTTTCTAGCGATGTGAGTTTTTACAAGTTAACATATGTGGGACGGAGTTATAATATTTTATTTTTCATGAGTTAATTGACATGGGAATGGGAGATGGAGTATTTAAAGGCCTGCACATCGTTAATTCACTTTCACACTCTTGGTTTTTGTTGTTTCTTAGTGGATTGGACATAAAGAACGCAAATAATAATGATGCAGATTAAAGGCTTCTGGCTTGTTTTTTTTTGTGCAAACTCATTTGTCATTTTCATTTTGAGCTTAAGCAAGCTCAATTATAAGTTAAGTTTTTATTTTTTATTTTTTATTGTGTGAATACGGACTTGCCTAATTGCTTCATACTTTTTCCTATCTTTACGGTTGTTGACTTAGTTTTGCTACTTTTTTAAACAAAGCTTGTAAACAAAATAAGTTCTCCAGGCCTTTGCTCAATACTTGTGCAGTCAAGCATATTGGTAGAAGGGGAAGAAAGTCAGAGAATAGTTGGATATCTGATCACATATTTTGGCTATCCTTTTTCTTATCCATTAATTTCTTATGAAACATAGACTTTTTTTTTAAATTAAATGAGAAAAGACTTAATATTAGCAGTTAATTTTCTTGAAGACAAATCTTAATAGTTCCTCTGTATTTATTTAACATGATAGTGATATTTCAGATGCATATGCTAAGGGACATTAGCAGTTTCCTTGGATGGTAAGTCAAAGGATGGATTATGGTAAATGTTCATCAAGTGCCGGGGCTCTATCTTTAAATATGGCACCAAGTTTTCTGAATCAGATGCATACAAAAACACAATTTGAAGAACAGGACAGAGCTTCTGAGCTCGCCAATACAGAGGACATTGACATTGATTGTAGAGAAATATATTTTCTAATCATGCATTTCTTATCATCTGGGCCGTGCCAGAATGCTTTGGGGATATTACACGATGAATTTGTGAAACACGAGCTTCTACCCAGGAGATACCATGCTTGGTATTCACGAAGCCAAGGATGTGGCGAGACTGATGGGTCATCTTTCCCTTTAAATTATGATAGCCTTGCCCAACGGTATGGTCAATATTCAATCATCAAATTCAGGAAAACTCATAGACTTCATTGTCCTTTTATTTTACCCTTTCATGCTTGTTTGTGATACTTGTTATTTGTTTGTATGTTCCATGCATGCTCATGAAACATATGATTGTATGCATGTTCATTTGCTTGCTTTTGTTTTTCATTGGTTACATCTCTCGTAATGCGATGGAAATTGTGCACATGCTGAAGTTTAGAAACATGTTACTGCAGTTTTGTTAACTCTGTTGATTAGTTAGCAATTAAGTTACACTGAGTATACTCAGTTCGAATAATTCTAGAAGACCTGTTGTTTACGAGTCATTTATTTCCCTGGTTGCTGTATCTACAGTTTTTTATGTTGGAGATCAATTGTCCATTGATAACAATTTATATGACCCTATTGTCTGCAACTGGAGATACATCAGTCTTTGCTTCTACATATAAATCAGCTTGACTAATTGCAATATGTTTACAATCTCAACTTTTCTGTTTTAGGTATTCACACATTCAAAAGGACCATTTGGTAAAACTGCTTAAGCAACTAATAATAACTTCACCTCCTCCTTTACATCTTACTGGGAGAAATACTCCTAGTGCTGCTGATGTTCCAACACTACTTGGAACAGGACCGTTTGCCCTTATATCTGGTAGGTAATGTTATCATTTTAATTCATATCCTATTTTATCCTGTTACTTGAAAGAACCAGCATCTCTGATGTATATTTTTTTACAGATTTGTTTTTAATTTTTAATTTTTTATTTTGCATAGATTTTACATCCTTACTAGCTTCTCACATACTTATCATATCCAGTCACTGCTTAAATCACTATGTTTATAGCTGGCAATACATGATGCAGGTGATAAACATACAGTGAACAAGCAAGTAAAACATCCTCCGTCATACCTACGCTGGCCACACCTGCATGCTGATCAAGTGCATGGTCTAGGCTTGAGGGAAATAGGAGGCGGTTTTGCAAAACATCACCGTGCTCCATCTATGCGTTTTGCAAGTTATGCCATTGCCAAGCCATCAACTATGGTGCAAAAGATGCAAAACATCAAGAGATTAAGAGGACACAGGGATGCTGTATATTGCGGTGTGACTTCAGTCACTCCTTTGCTGTTCAATTTTGTCATCAGTCTCATTTTGTCCAAGTGCAGTCGAAAACCACTGTTCAATTTTTAGGGGTTTCCTTAAATATTACTCCGTACTATATTGAAGCGGAATTCCAAAAAGTGACTGATTTTACATATGGGCAAAAATGTGACCAACAAGGTTATAAATTTGGAAAACTATGAATGTCACTACCAGTTAATTATGTCCGCATTTTTTTTATGTCAATGACGGTGTCACTGTCGAACATGTCACGATGACTGTCAAAATTTTTTGTGGAGACTTTTTCCAGCAAAAAAAAAACGGAAAATAGAAAAAAATTCTAGCGAACTTTTGTTAGAGGCGGAGCTAGGATTTAGGGTCTGTTTGCAATCCATTAAAAAAAGTGCTTTTAACTTTTTTTTAAGAAAAAAACACTTATTTTACCAAACACTACCAACTTTTACTACTAATCACTTTTTCCCCAAAAGTGCTTTTATTTAAGCACAAGTGGTTGCAAACAAAGCCTTAGTCATAGGGGGGCCAAGAAGGAACACAAACAATAAAGAGAATTTCTTAAATAGGACTAAAACAAAAGTAAAGTTCATAAATAGGATTATCATTGTTTTATTTTCAAAATAGGACTCATTCACTCCTATTTTGGAAAACTTTAATCAACTTATTTTAATATGACTAAGTAAGATATATTTGAGGAATAAAACATATTTTGTCCTATTTTTAATCATATATATGTAATTATTTCATGAGGAATGATCTTGTCAAAACTACCTGATAGGATCTGCCATCCGCCGTCCGACCGCCTATGTTTGAGGTGATTCCTGGTGGATTTTTTTGATGATATTTTGTGAGAATGTTCTTCATGATGTGTCTGTTATTTACACCAAATTTCAGTTTAAAATTTAATCAGAAAGTCAATTAAATAAATTATTGAAAAACACTGTGCCAAAATTTATATAAAAAATGCAGTGCTTTTACATAATTTATTTAATTGACTTCCCTATTGAATTTTAAACTAAAATTTGGTGGACATAATCTACACTTCATGAAAAACATACTGACAAAATTCTATCAAAAAATTCTATCAAAAAATTCTACCTGGCAACATCTCAAATGGAGGCTTCTAATAGTTCTGACCCAATTTTTTCTGATTATTTAATATTTAGTACTAGTACTATTAAAAAATTTGGGGTGGGGGCAAAACCCCCTACCCCTATACCTACCTCCGTCCCTGACTTTTCTGGCGAACTTTCCGGCGGTAGTTTCCATCACCACTCACTGGCAGTGGTTGCCGGAAGCGAAGTAGGGTAGGGGTGGGATTGGGGGCAGTTGAGTAAGGATTAAAAGGAGAGGAAATTTTAATTAATTAAACACAGGTTAGTCACTTTTAAAAAAAACTTTTCATTTTTTGTCTTCCAAAAGTTTAGAGGTAATATTTATGTTACTTTTCAAACTTTATGTTTCTTTACTGCATTGTTCTTATTCTATTATGGAGTACATTTATGGAGTACAATTTATGGTAGCTTTTAAGTATTATAAACATGAAGTTACAATGTTGACATTCTTAACCAGCGAATATCCTTTGCACTTTTTTATTTTATTATGAAGCTATATTTGATCGCTCCGGTAGATATGTGATAACTGGGTCAGATGATCGCCTGATCAAGATTTGGTCTATGGAAACTGCATTTTGCCTAGCTAGTTGCCGTGGACATGAAGTAAGTTAAAAAATGGGATTACCTTCCCATCTCTATGAATAAAATACTTAGTTAATTTTTTTTATATCTGCTTTCTTCTTTATGCTTGACTGTTTTACACTTTGTTGTCTCTTCTTGCTAAAAGGGTGACATCACTGATTTAGCTGTCAGTTCAAACAATGCTCTAGTGGCGTCCTCATCAAATGACTACACAATACGTGCTGTAAGAATATTCTCCCATTGAATAGAGAGATTCTCTTCCTATGTATGTAAATAGTTTATGACCCCTCCATTTTTTTGTAACCTTCAAAATATTACAAACAATATCTGCTTTAAATGCTACACTATAGTAGTTGGTCACTGTTACTGTTCAACTATAAATTTGGTCTCAACTGAAACCCTTGAAAATTTGAATAGGGCGTAATATTATCTAAATTTCAAACCGAGGAGACATTCCAGGATGGGAAATCAAATTATATAAATTTTCAACAATAACATCCAAGCCTTAGTCCCAAAAGAGTTAGAGATCAGCTAACATAAATCGACATATGAAAGTAGTGTTATAAAATGTAAAAAGAGATCAATCCTTCACACGTATACTCTCTCTGCACTCGCTCCCTCAAAAGTCATACTATCATTTAATCCAAGAAGTACTATATCATTTCTACCACTACAGTCCACGTCTTTTTGGGTCACACTTTCCCTATCCTTCATGCCTTTTCTCCCTACCTCTCAATTTGTCTAACAGGTGCATCGTCGGTCTTCTACACACATGGCCAAACCACCACAATTGAGACTTTGTCATCTTATCTTCAATAGGTGCTAGTCCCACATTTTGCATGTTGTCATTCCTCAAATTGGCTTTCCGAGTATGTCCGCACAACTAACACAACATGCGCACCTCAACCACATAGAAATCTTGACGCATTCTTGCATTTCATCCACCCTATTCTGATTCTATTGGATACATCTTCATCTAGTTCGCATTCTACCCATGGGATATATCATTGACCAATATCTCACTTATCAACTAAGGTATTCCCACGATTACCATTTCTTTTACTTCCTCTAATGTGCACTCCATATACTCAGGATTGCTTCGACTCCATATATCTTCATGAATTGACTTCGTGAGTTCATGTATGATAGAGAAAATTAATGATGCACTTTCCTTAGGGGTAAACTGATTTTACCACTCAAATATTACCAAAAAAAGAACTATGAACTTGATCTCGAGACACCCAGGAAAGGAAAATGAGAACTTAATTGCAGGATGAAAGGAGTACATAGGAGAATGTTGAAATATATGTGCGAGTCAAATAAATACGTAATTTCATTACATTGAAGGTAGACATAAGAATTACCAAACAGATGTTGTGGTACATCCAGCTGTGCATATGTATCAGGTCTAGTCAAAAATATACTGAGAATCAGATATTTAGAAATATGTTCAACGATATAAAGATATGTAAAAGTCTTTTCTGCAGCATTGCCGTGACGACATGGCGACGATGCAGCGACGCCGTAATGACTATAGTTCATCCATGACTATAGCAAATAAAAAATGACTCTGAGCCAATCTTTGGTGCACTCTGACAGTAATAGCGAACTGTGCGGTCCTCCCAACACTAGTACGAATACTTGTAATACAATCCTCATACATATCCATGATGATGTCGATATACGTACGTAATATGCGCTTTCTAGTTAAGACCAACTAAAGGACTTATCGAGATACCCTATCATACGCCTTTTCTAAATGAATGAAGTGAATGAACACCAAATATCGATCTGTGTTCGTATCTTTATACTTCTCCACAAGTTTTCTAAGACGATATTAATCTTCCTACTATAAAAATTGGATGAATCCAGTCACATTAAATTTGACAACAAAACCATAAAAGACACCTTTTCTATTTCCTTTCTGTACCGGGGCGGTTGCCAAATTGCTAGTTCAGTACTTTATACTGAGAGTGAATGCTAGGACACCACCAAGATTTTAAAGATTAAAAGAATAATTGGTTCCAAGTTTTAGTTTTACAATAGAAAGTAGGGATCTGCCTCATGCTTCACAGTCTCATGTTGTGTCTTTATCCTAAAAAGAAATAAACTGGTCGGCTCTCTTATGTTGAATGGTAAATAATGTGATATTGTTCATTCCAGTGGCGCTTACCAGATGGGATGCCCATTTCAGTTTTGCGTGGACACACGGGAGCAGTTACTGCCATAGCATTCAGCCCACGGCCGAGCTCTGTTTATCAGCTTTTGTCGTGAGCTTATTTTCTATCATATTTATTACTTTTTTTTATTATGTTATTTGATGTATTAGAAGCATCTTGCTTCTTTCCCATCCCATATTATACATTTATACTACGTATATTATTTTATAGACAAAAGTGAGCTTCAATCTCACAAGATCTACTTCTAATCGTATCACATATGAAAACTACCCCGAATGGATAGTATGAATTTTAGGACAATGCAAACAGCACATATTGATGGTTTTGATTCATCTCATGCGTAGGTCATCTGATGATGGAACATGTCGGGTTTGGGACGCAAGGTACTCACAGTGTACTCCCCGTGTATACCTGCCAAGGCAAACAGATGTTATCTCTGGTCAGAAGAAATTGGTTAATTGTTGGATCATAATTTTCAGTGCTGTCAGACTTGTTTATATTGAATCTCATTTTATTGTAGGCATTAATGGTGTTTCCCGCTCAACCAACATTTCTTTATCAACTAATTCTTTGGAGCTCCATCAAATACTGTGTTGTGCGTACAATGCTACTGGAACTGTATTTGTCACTGGGAGCTCTGATAGGCATGCAAGGGTATGGTGCACATATATTTGTGTGTGTTTGTGAACATGTATATGTATGCAAATATATAAATACACACACACACATATCTATTATATATATGCATGTATGTGTGCATATATATATATATATATATATATATAGAGGGAGTGGTTCCAATGAGAACACTCCTTATTGTGAGAAATAAGAACAATTCTCGACCATAAATCTTAATAAATCAAATGCTATAAAAGGATTAGACACACGGATGTATGGTGGGAGTGCAAACATTTAAAAAAAACCTTGAACTCTCTTATCTCATACGCAGGTTATGAAAGTGGTACTACAGTAATTTTAAAAATATTCTTTAATGTGGTAACAGTTAGAGATTTCCACTTACCTAAAAAGTAGGTAGAAATAAAAACTTAAATTATATAAAATATTTTTAGTTTGAAATTTATTTAACTTTTAAAATTATTTTAACAAAAATCATATCAAATTAAATAATTTTTTATGATCTTTCATTTGACACCAATAATGCATATATAATTTTGTTTTAAAAAAGTATAATATCATTATACTATGAACCACAACGATCATTACACAAGAACATGTATCTAACACACAACTACAAATATATAATACACAAGTAGAAGTACGTGTCCAACTAAAAATATGTACTACGTATAACAAAACACTATAATAAATATCTTAGGCACAAAATCCAATATTTAATGCACAACAAGTAAGAACCAAGTAATATCACAACAAGTATGCCATGCACAAGAACTGATATCTAACACACAACCTTGAATCTATAATAATGATTATGTACAAATATCTAACACACAACCCATTTATGTAATGCGCATGAACATGTATCTAACTCATATTTCGTATATGCCAATTGTGCATTACTATATGTGTGTTATGCACATTAGAATAATTGTGTGCATCACTATATGTTAGTTGTGCACTATAATTAATTGTGCAAAGATATTATTTAGAATTATTATTGAAAAATGGTCTTTGAAAATAAATAGTGCACAAGAGTATTTTACTTAAAAAAAATTACAAATCATCACATGCAATTAAAGTGAGAGAGAAAGAGAAATATAATGCATTCCCACGTGAGAAATAATCTTAAACAACTAATATGATAATGTGTACTCTTTCCATTCATAAACGTGAACACCATTAATTGAAAGATCGGTCAATGAAATTGTCAAAAAGAAGAGGACGTAAATGTCCTCTATTACCATTTATTTGATCATAGATCGTCACTTGTTTTGGAGGGCTCAGATTTGTTCTAACTTGTCACATTAAGGGGTGTTCTAAAATGTGTTCTCATTTTAGAACGGTTAAGAACCCGCGCATATACATATATATATATATATATATATATATATGTATATGCGCGGGTTCTTAACCCTTCTAAAATGAGAACACATTTAAGAATGAGAACTTTAATCTCTCCCGTTCATATTTCTAATAAGTGGCTAGAATTAACATGGTGGCATTTTTGTAAAGACACCGTTTGAGTTTTGAATAATTACAAAAAGACACCATGTGTATGTTAAGTTGTTAACCAATGATTGAATAAAATGAAAGGTTGAGATTAAAAGTTCTCTTCATAAGAAGTTTCATTTTAAGATGGGTTCTCACTTGAACCCTCCCCTATATATATTTACATTGACATACCAACGTTTGTGCCTTATGGTAAAAGACAAAGATGTCAATCAAGTGTATCCTTTACAGTCACATGTTATTCATTGTGTCCACAGAACTTAGGAGTGATTACATGCCTTCATGATATTTATATAGGTTTCTTTAGAATATAATCGTTTTAAAAGGAAGTCCTGAAAATGCTCTTTGCACAGGTTTGGGGTGCTCCTAAGCCCAATGTGGATGAGCCAGATCAACCAAGTCATGAGATAGACATATTATCTGGACACGAGCAGGATGTAAATTATGTGCAGTTCAGGTTGGTAGCAAGACCTTCCCATGAATTAGTAACTCATTATCTCATATGTGCTGTTTATTATGCAGTGGCTGTACGGTGGCTACTCCTCGATGTTCGACTCCTGATGTTCTTGTGGAGGACAACATTCCGAAATTTAGAAATTCTTGGTATGTGGACACATTTATAGATCTTTATAATATGGTTGCAATTTTTTATGGTGCATAGGCATGTTAGACTAGTATGTATTTCTCTTACAGGTTTAGTCATGACAACATAGTTACTTGTTCTCGAGATGGCAGTGCAATCATTTGGATTCCTAAATCACGCAAGTCTCCTGTAAGTTAGTCGTGGCACTTCCCATTATCTACAGAATTCATATTGTGATAGTCACGAGCTTACATATATAATATATAAAATAATAACTGTGTAGGTTAGCTAGGAATTGAACATTTAGTTGAGGTAGTGTACTTTGTACACATACTCCCTCCGTCCGAATTTGTTTTGCAAAATTTCCTATTTTGGTTGTGCCAAAATGATTTTCCCCTTTCTATTTTAGGTATGTAAATAAGAGCAAAGTGACAAATTTACCCTTACTTTTACTTTTTTCCCATCAACTTAAAGACATCTACTTTTAGGATGAAAGACAAAAATGTAAAAAGAAAGCATCATTTATTATCATTCCTTAATCCTTGTGCCGGTCAAAGTTTGCAATTCAATTCGGGACGGAGGGAGTAATATGGTTGCACAGTAGATGAAAGATCATTTGTTCAAATATTGCATGCTCTATCATTAAAATATTTACTGCGCTTCCCAAGAGGAAAAGTAAAAAGACATGCCACTCATGAGGGGAATGTTGAACATAAATATACAAAATAGTAGTAAATGTGTATCCACCAAATTTTAGTTGAAGCGTATCACTCATTGCATCAACATTTGATTTTTCTTTTTGCTAAATAGGCGTGGTTATAGAAAGCACCCCCACCCCCGAAATGCAATGACTACTTTTTCAGCGTCTTTTTGACAACTTCCCTACACATTAGGTAAAGGCAGGACGTTGGGCGAAGGCTTACCATCTTAAAGTTCCTCCCCCTCCAATGCCACCACAACCTCCACGGGGAGGGCCACGACAGAGACTACTTCCAACTCCTCGTGGGGTCAATATGATAGTCTGGAGTCTAGACAATCGTTTTGTTCTTGCTGCCATAATGGGTACTTTCCATTCGGTTCAGTTAGAATGCTTCTTTTATATGTGTTTCTGTTTTTGCTTCATTTTTTTGAATGAATTATAGTGTTGATCTTAGACATTTAATTGACACAATAAGTTTCACGCCATTGACCCCATCAAATATAAGAATTAAGGTTGTGGTTTTTGTTGTAACCTCTAGCAATTAAAGGGTAATGGCGTAATGCTAAACAATTGGATTGGCAGAATTTAATGGTATTTGTTTCATTGATAAACACACAATATTTGTTAGCTCTCTTGATCTCAAAGTCTATGGAAACTTGGTCCAGTGATGCGCTATGTGGAGTAAACAGTGACTGTTTTAGATTATAATGGATTGTTTTTTGCTTTTTGAAAGTTTAGTATTGATGATGTGAGCCTGCAGATTGCAGAATTTGTGTTTGGAATGCTAGTGATGGTAGTTTAGTGCACTCCTTGACTGGTCACACTCAATCTGTAAGTGATGAATTTCGTGAAGAATCTAATTTTCCGTTTTTCTTTCCTTCCAAAGTACATCTTTAGAGCATTTGGTTTGGCTTCAAAGCGAGTTTCAGCTGATGCTTAGTTTCCTTTCAGAGCATAGAAATTTAATACATGATCTACTCATACACATAACAGGTTTTATAGTGTTTTTCATTGCATAAAAGTGATCTTTGCTATCTAATTATTGATACCCTGTCCATGGTTTGGCGGTTTGGCCTCCTTTACTTCAAGTTGCGACATGGAACATAGTTTAAGAAAAGTTCTTTCAACTCTCTTAGATGCCATTCCTTAGATGCCATTTTTTGGGACACCCCAAAAACTAAATGTTGTGTTTGTTATTTCTTCCAGGGAAATTTTAAAAGAACTTTATTAGCTCGTCTTAAGATAGGCTATTTTTAGAAACATCTACTCGTCTCTTTGTTCTCTCTCTAGAGACTTACTGCTTCTATTGTGTTTCTGGTAGACTTATGTATTGGATGTTCATCCTTTCAACCCCAGAATCGCAATGAGTGCTGGTTATGATGGGCAAACAATTTTGTGGGATGTGAGTTTCTGGTTCATTAATACCTACTTTTCTATTTTCATAGTATTGCAATTCACTCTTCCCCTTTTATGGAACATCTTTTTCCCTTGTAGATATGGGAGGGTACTCCTATCAGAACATACGAGATCGGACGTTTTAAGCTTGTTGATGGAAAGTTTTCGCAGTAAGTAATTACATCATACATAAAACGTGGCAATAGCTGTGCTTTGGCAGTTTTTAAGTGTCCCTTTGGGAAATGCACTTCAGATACCACATTGGGCAACACTTGTTTCTATTGTTAGTCTTTAGCCATGGATAATAGGATATACCGTTGGTACCTACTCCCTCCGTCCCAATTTGTTTTGCAAAATTTCCTGTTTTGGTTGTCCCAAAATGATTTTCCACTTTGCACTTTTAGTATAAAAACATGAACAAAGTTACATGTTTTCCCTTTCTTTTATACGGAGTATTTCTGATTTTTTTATCCGCACCCATTCAATTTGAAGAGGATGGATTCCCACCACACATCCCCCTCTCATTTTCCCCCACCTTTCCCCCACCTGTCTGAATCACAAAATCACATCACCCATTTTCACTTCTATCTCTCCATACTCAATTCTCAAATCAAGCCGCACCTCTCTCAAATGGAGTGATCAAGTGAGATTTTCCCCCCAATTTGAAGACGAAGAAGGAGAAACTAAAGGTAAAGGATTTTTTCCGGCGAAGACGAAGTAGGACAAACTGACAAACTACATACTTCTTCTACAAATCCCATTTTTAAACGAGGAAGAAGAAAGCGTGAGGTCGGACAGTACGGCGAAGCTGTGAAGAACCCCATTTGCAATTTACGGTTTACGGTGAAGACGAAGAACAAAAGGAGAGGTCGCACAGTACAAATGTAAATTTTCTGTAAGAGCTGTGCGGCCTGTGCCTCATAACTTAGGTCGGCAGCTCGTTGTACTTCAAGAAACAGAGTATTTTATTTTTCAACATTTTTAGTTTTTTTTAGCTTAGGAGGAAAAGGGCAAAACGGTGATATGAATATCAACTTCAATCCTTTCTTAATTCCCGTGCCGGTCAACATTTGCAATTCAATTCAGGACCGAGTATTTACTTCCTACTTTTTGAATTTAATGACAGCATGATGCTGATGTTTTAATATGAATGAGATAAGGTGTTTCTTTTTCCTTTGCAATAGGGATGGAACATCAATTGTCCTTTCAGATGACGTTGGGCAAATATACCTTCTAAACACAGGCCAAGGCGAGTCCCAGAAGGATGCAAAATATGATCAGGTATATTTTGATTGTGTATATTTGGCACTTTCGCTTGTAATGGGAATGAGCCTAACAACTATCCAAACTTATCACCATATCTTGATATTTCCCATCAAGTGAAAAGAACCTTGATGATGGCGGTTTTGGATCTTCATGTCATTTTTCCTTCTAAAGAAGGTTGCTTTTTGCATATATTCATCGTGTATTTGTGTTAAGCAATTTCAGACCAATAGTTGTCAATACAAATTTTATGCCACCGACAACTATGTAATTGGGATTAAAGTGCCTCGATGATTATTTTACTTGTGTTTTCAAGGTTTGAACAAGCATTTCATGCTCCTTTTTCTTTTGATTTAAACAGTTCTTTCTTGGCGATTATCGCCCCCTTATCCGGGATACTCATCAGAATGTTATTGATCAGGTGACTACCCTTCACCTACAATAGTGGTTCATTCTTCCCCTATTATGCAACATCAGTAAATACCCTTGATTCTAGAAATAATGTTCAATTTGGGTGATCAGCAAGATTGTTTTAATTAAGCTCCAAGCTTTGGGTTACCATACATGCATGTTATTTTGGTTGGGAGGGACTCACACTTCTTTTGGACCAGGGGAACTTGATATGATCAAGAATGAAGAAATATTGGAGTTGTATTATAGAATGCTAATTCAGATATGTGTTATACCTGATGCAGGAGACTCAATTGGCTCCATACCGACGAAATTTGCAGGATCCTCTTTGTGATTCAAGTATAGCATTTTTCCTCTCTATTATGTTCCCTTCATAACAATGCCTCTCTTAATAGTCAATTAACTCTTTAAAATGATCAATTTTAGGTATGATTCCATATCCAGAACCGTATCAGAGTATGTACCAACGGCGCCGGCTTGGAGCTCTAGGCTTTGAATGGCGCCCCACTTCCATAAAATTGGCTATTGGGACTGATGTTGGTTTAAGCCAAGAATACCAAATATTGCCCTTGGCTGATTTGGACATTGTGGCTGAACCTCTGCCAGAGTTTTTAGATGCTATGCTCTGGGAACCAGAAAATGATGTGTTAAATGATGATACTGATTCTGAGTACATTGTCAATGAGGATTATTCCAGTGAAGAGAAGGGGCATTTAGGTGACAACTCAAGTGATTTAGACTGTAGTGAAGATGAGAAGATTATACAATGCCAGAATCGCAGATCAAAAAGGAAAAAGTCAATAACAGAAGTAAGTATTAACAATTTAACATTCAAAAACACACTTTTACTTATCTACCCTTGGCATGTCTGTGAAATGTTTTCATTGGCTTTCAGATTGAGCGTGTGACCTCTTCAGGGAAGCGCATGAAGAAGAGAATAGTGGACAAGGAAGTGAGATTATCAAAAACTAAAAGAATAAAAAAATCCAGGAATGGCCGAAAGACTACTAAGATAAATTTTGCAAAACCAAAATCGTTGAGACCTCAACGGGTCGCCACACGCCATGCAAATAATACTTTCCTTCATCATTCTGATTTGTCTACTGGTGAAGAGGATGATGCTAGCTCAGATTACTATTCATCAGAGAGCGATTCACAAAAGTGTTCTTATGCTCAGAGTGAAGAATCTGAAGGGATGTTGGAAAATGAAGACATGAAGTTTTTGAAAAGTGAAGAAACTCCCACTTCAGATGAGCCTCCATCGAACCCCCAACCTCAAACAAATGTTGAAAAGAAGAGGAGATTGGTTTTGAAATTCTCCATTCGTGATGCCAAAAAGCCTGTGCCTTTGAAACTCTCCAACTCAGATTCTGACAATCAGACCTTTTCAGTCCCTTCTTCCTTGAGAGCTGGAGGAGAATTTTTTGAAGATAATCAAAGTGAAAAGAAGTCCATGGATCCAGGATTAGCTTCCTCATATGGAATCGGTTCTGATTCATCTGAAAACAAGAGAAGAGCTGCATGTACTGAGATTCAAGTCCTTGATATATTGTCTGGGGATATACAAATGTCTGCAAGTTACCAGGACCCTGTGACTGGGTGTGGAGATGTCAAAGCAAGCACTTCCATGCATACCCCGTTGGTTGATTTGGCACACGCTGATTCATTCATCGGACCTGGAGTAGATATGGAAAAGCACATCAGGCTTGAGAGTCTCTATGGAAAAGCATCTGCAGATTTTGTAGTTCAAGATCAGGAGAATACGTTGGCAGCGGAACAATTTAAGAAAAGAATGGGTGATTCTGGATGCTCTTATAATCAGGCACATATTAAAACCGGAGGTAATAATATTAACACCTGTGACAATATTTCTCAAGTTAATGGGAAACCTAAATTGAAGCCAACCATCCTCAAAATCAAATCAAGGATGATTTCTGGGGAGGTGGGACCTCCCGTGGTGCGTGCATTTACCACACCTGTGGATGTTTCTTGTGAGGATGATTCAAGATCCAGCAGAGAGAGGAACAGATTTCTAACAGTCTCTAAAACTGGTAATGGCATCAAAGAGCCAAATTGTTTGCAGCGTGTAAACCTAGATATGGATAATACAATTAATGGAAGCGAGTGTAGTAGAAAGTTGTCTAATGAAGGTGGAGTTTGTGAAGATACTTCCAAGGAAAGTTTCCATTACAGAAACATGTTGATGGATTATCCTGATGCTGCAACCGATGCAACAAGGAGAAAGAGGTCATTAAGACTGAAGGCAACTTCAAGGGATATTAATCTTGTTAACCTTTCCAAGAGAGCAGTTGATGTTTCCCCATCAACAGGAGTTTCAACTTCTAGGAGCAAGGGAAAAGTTTCTTACAATGATGAAAAGGTTTACCCTAACAACTTCACCAATGTGCCAAGAAAATCAGACTGGTTGTTGTTGTCGAAGAAGGAGGAGGGGTACCGCTACATACCTCAGCTGGGTGATCAAGTAGCATACTTAAGACAGGTATGTCATCTGTTGTTTAATAATACTATTTGCTTCTTTTCAATGCTGTTAACCACTTAGGGTCTGTCTTGAACTCCAAAATGCTAGGGAAAGAAAACAGGGTGTAAACTAGAGTAGAAATCTGTAAGGGAATAACATCAGCGAAAAATAAAAAATGGTTCAAACTCAATGAATTTAATATTTCTCCGTGCTCATTTTATATATTCATTTCTATTGTATAAAGACTGAGATTTTAAAGTTCTCATCAATTTTGAGTTTTCCTTCATTTGAAAGGTAAATCTAATCACAAATAACTACTTTCCATAGTTTTATCTTCTTTCCCTATTATTTTCTGCATTCCAAGCACTTGGTGTTTAGGTAATTTATAATTATTTTCTGTGATCAATAGGGCCATCAAGAATATATGGAGTCCAGCCAATCATTGGAGCGTTGCCCTTGGGAAAAGCATGGGGCGAGAATTAGAGCTGTGGAAGTCTGTTTGGTTGAAGAACTTAATTATGCAACAGTCCCTGGGTCTGGAGAGAGTTGTTGTAAAATCACACTTAAATTCATTGATGCATCTTCCAGTGTACTTGACCAGAAAATTAAATTTACAGTGCCAGAACTAAATGATTTCCCAGACTTTATTGTTGAAAAATCACGGTATGATGCGGCAATAAAGAGATGTTGGATGTGTGGAGAGGAGTGTCAAGTCTGGTGGAGGGATGAGAGTGAGGAAAATGGTGGGAGATGGTGGGATGGTATGATAGTATCTGTGGAGGACAAGTCAAGTGAGTACCCAGGGAGCCCATGGGAAAGGTATGTTGTTAAGTACAATAGTGACCACAGTGATACACATCTTCATTGCCCCTGGGAACTGCAAGATCCATATTCCCTTTGGGAGCATCCTCATATTGACCCCGAAAGCAACAACAGGATGCTAAATGCTCTCAATAAATTGCTGCAGCGTGCAAACACTAATCAGGTCTCCCCCTTCTCCCCCTAACTACGCGAGCAATTGACTCATGATTTTGATTGAACTTAGAAAATAATAACGTTATAAAACGGAATATCTTTGGATGTTTCAGGATTATTTCGGGATTCTGCAGTTAATAAATGTAGCATGTAAAGTGGAATTTATAAACAGGTATTCTTTTTGTTTTTTTTTTAAATTTTATGAATGTCAATACAAACAAGTTGAATGAAAATATCGATGAGTGTAATGAAAAATGATGATTACAGGTTTCCTGTTCCGTTATCCCCTGACATAATCCTCTCAAGATTGGAAAATAACTATTATAGAAGCTTGGAGGCTTTGAAGCATGATGTCAGAGTGATGCTCGGGAATGCTATGGATTATTTTGGGAAAAATACAGCAGTGGCAGTAAAAATGAGGCGACTGTCAGATTGGTTTGCCAAACACTTATCAAAACTGTGAGATTATTAAAATTCATCTCCAGCCTCTTTTTTTGGTAGCACAAAGGAAAGCCCATTCCGACATCACTATTCTTAAATTAATTCATACCCGGGTGGCAAGCCAACTATCATCACTCACACCAGCTTGCCCCGCCCCTACATTTTGGTTCTTCTCTTTCACGCTACATCTGCACAAAGTATTCTCAGCGTGGACTTTCTTAGGCCATTTATGTATTACCATAGTAACTATATGACTGAACCGTGAGTTTCAACATCATATATAAAAGTGAAAGATGCAGAAATTAGAAGGGTTTTTGTTAGATTTTTTATTTGTCCAAGTACTGTATAGCTCTTAGAAGGTTCGCAGCTGTGAGGGGCTTTGTTAAGTAGTAATCCATTCCGACGCCAGTGATCTTCTCCATCTCTTCCTTTCCTGTATGTGCTGTTAGAGCGATGATGGGAATCCATATGCCCATTGCTTCCCCCTTTTCCTTTATGCGCCTTGTCGCCTCAAATCCATTCATTACTGGCATCTAATCAATACAAATGTTAATTAATTACCATCAATGATGAAATAGAGAATATTGGTACTTTTTCCTTTTTGATTTAAATCAGTTAATACTACTACCCTCAGGGCCTCACCCTAAAACTTTTATTTCTATCTATTACTATTCTTGGGACTTGAGTAATATATGTATGGAACTTCAAAAATGGAGTGAGCAATTTTTACCTCACAATCCATTATGATGTAATCAAAGGGCAGTTGAGTATCCTGACTTTGTAGAGCCTCATATACAAGTCGTATAGCTTCTGCACCATTGTCACATGTGTAACTTTGAGCACCTAGTTGGGAAACTACTGCCATGCATATTTTGCGTTGCAGTGGAGTATCTTCAACTATCAAAAGTCTTTTCCCTTGCAATGGCTTGTTTAGGGCAACAAGGCCACCTCTTGTGCTTGGTCCACACTCATCATCTTCATACTCTTCTTTGTCGATTGCCACCTGTATCTCTCCTGAAAAAATGAATGATCAATGGGAAACTGATTAAATAGGAAGTGTAAATTAAAAGGAAGCATAAATTACATATTGATACTCAACTGTTACCTTTGGTTGGTGCAAATTCGGGTAGAAGCTCTAAAATTTGAGGTAATCGTGAGCCATGCAATGGCTTAGACAAGACAATATCAGTTGAGGTGTCATGTGCGCTTGACATGTCTATCCAAACAACTTTAGCAAATCCTTGATGGAGCTGCCTCTGGAACTCAGCAATTGCTCGACTCACTTCTGGGAATGGCCCCGCTCTCTTGTCTATTATTATCAACACCACAGTGTCTTGTGTTCCATCTGAAGCACAGGTAGGCGCTTCCTTTGCTCTTGATCTTGAGGATGAAAGAGAAGAAGATGATGATGAGTGGGAGAGGCCATTTTTGGAATAAGTGGAAAGCTTACGCCTGATCTTCTTTAGTGTTTGGCTTAGCTGTGTATATCCCTTGTTAATAACACTTACCTTAACCCCGTGAAACTCTAGAAATCTTCTTACAACTTCACTCCTCTCTTCGCTCTGAATGAAGAGAACAACTTGTGATGACAACGTTGATTGGCCTTGCACTTTTGATGATGATGAACACTGATAATAGTTATGAGGATGGGAGCGAGAGCCATATTGAGACTCTATATCTTGCCTAAGATTATTGGGAGGATGAATTTTCAAAAATAGGTTAAACCTAAAACAAGCCCCCCTTTCCCCGATTTCCTTGTCCACGATTCCAATTTCCCCGCCCATCAAACGGACTAGAGACCGAACTATGCCAAGCCCCAAACCATGACCTAGATGTCCACTATTGGCACCCCTTTCTTTGATCTGGACATAATTTTCAAACACAAACTTTTGTTTCTCCTTCGGAATACCTCTCCCTGTATCAACCACATCAAATATATACTCCACATCATCGTTGTCTTTGAGTCTCGTTTGTGCGATTGGTTTATCTTGACCAACACCTCCAAAAAGGAGGCGAGATGCATAACTCCAAGAAGAGGCAAGTTGAACACCATCATTGTCGTGGTCACTAGTAGCGTGGTTTTTTATTGCCCGAACACGAAGGGAAACATAACCTTCATCTGTGAATTTGATGGAGTTGTACAGTAAATTACATAGAATCTGCTTGAGTTTGCCTCTGTCCCCCTTGACATCCCTAAAATTCTCAACTGACCCGTCACATGGGTCCAATATCACATCCACTCCCTTCTCCATACCCACCGGATAATATAGATCCACAACATCTTCTAGCAGGTCTTGTAAATCAAATTCTTCTTCTTCAACTTGCATCATCCCTGATTCAATCTTGGTAGTGTCAAGAATTGAATTCAACAAGCCTGCATACAATAGACTCATTTTGTTATACTAGTAGTTGTAGTAGAAGAAGTAATAATAATAATAGTAATAATAATAATAATAATCATTACATAGCAATCCCTCATTTTCAAAATAAACTTTTTGTTCAAATTTTGGACTGTCCAAAAACCCCTTGTTTATATTTTTGGACGACCCCAAAAATATTACATTAGTTCTCTTTAGAGGATAGCAATATGTAATTCTTATATCACATGAATCATCATTTCTATTAAAATCTCAACCAAACCTTTTCTTTTTTAGCTACCTGCACAATAAGAGTAACAAACCCTGACGAGATATTTCAAATTAATTCCTAGGAAGTTCACATACTTTCAAGATCACTTGTGCAAGACTCCATGTGCTTGAGATTATTATCCAAGGAAGAACGAGGAGCGGCCTCAGCTCGGCACATGTGAATCAAACCAGTGATGCCTGCGAGAGCAGTGCGCACCTCATGGCTCGCACTCGCAACCGCATCCATCTTTCTCATGCTCTTCCTCTCCGCTTCCTGGAGGGCATACTTATATCTGATGCTTTCTGCTTGCGTGCACATCTCTCTCCTGGTCACTATTATGCTCCAGCATGTGAACCCTAAGACACACCCAACTGTAACACACACATTCATTGCAACAAGAATAGCCCCAATTATTACATTCATCTGAAGCCTTCTTTGTATCCCTTCTAGTGCCCTAGCATGTCCCTACATTACCGATTAAGAAGAGAATAATATATTCATATCTAATTTCTCAATGAGATATAAATAAAATAACTAATATCCGCTCAAATTGCTAAAACTGTAGCTAAATCAACTGATTCAAATTATTGATTTGTGCCAGAAATATGTGCAATTTTTTAAGGTTGATTGAAGATCAAACGAAATCTTTCATGTCAATATTTGAACAAATATAAGTAAATATAATTAATATATTTAGAGTCCACTCTAAAAGTGCCATAATAACACACAAATCAAATTCAAATGTCATAAATAATTGATGCTCAAAATCAAAGAATAAACGAGGACTATGTTGAGGGAGAAAAGTCAAATTGCAAATCATTTTGGATGTATGGGTATATTTTTTTTAGGTAGATTCTATGGTACCCCAAATGTACCGTACCAGTGTCCACATGGACCAATAAGAATAATGCAGTTGAATTATTTAAATCTAAATTAAAATGCATATAATGAACTGGACCAATCAAATTCATGGTAGGTACAGTACCCCATTTTTTAAATGGGTACCGGAGTTGTCACCATTTTTTTATTATTATAGAAAAAAGATCCCATGGAAAAAGCTATGTGCTTGTTTGGTAAATCATTTTCTTTCTTATCAGCCTTATCTCAGTTTTGTTTACCAATTTTTATTTTTAAGGTCGTAAGTATTTTTTGGCTAGATTGACTAAAGGCGTTTTTTCACGAATATTTCTAAATTAAAATTTAAAAATAAAAATATGACTTAATTTATAATTTTCCAAAAAGGTACATATCCCAGACTAGTTCTTAGTAACTTGTCACTCTGAAATACACTATAGTGACTATTGTCCAGTTACTCGTTCACAGTGACTAGTCATTTTTTTGTCTGAAAACATAATTAGTCATATTTTTGTCTTGAGAAACTATGTTAGTAATATACATGTCATTTTTTCTTGACTAAATGTTATAAGAATTTCTTTCTTTTAAATAAGACTATTTTAGCTATAATATATATATATATATATATATATATATATATATATATATATATATATAAATTTTTCCCATATATATCTTTTTTTATTTTATTACTCCGTAATAAAGTACATTTCAATATAAGTAATTCACAATTATACCAATTCAATGAATTCTGGAATTTCAGTCAAAGCTTCAATATTTTGCACATTCACCATATATACTAAACCAATTATTGTGAAACCAAATGAGATCAAAATGATCAGCCATTTTAGGAAAAAAATATCGTTCGTTTGATAAAAAATCTAGCAAATACAGCAACGTTCACCTATTTAATTATGGGAGTAAATTTAATTAAATTAAATTAAATCAATACCATCAAATCATGAGCAATCCTAAATGACACAAGAATGAGTAAACCAGCAATCACCACTGCTCCAAAACCCTGCTCCCAAATACACGTTCAAGAAAAAACAGAGGTAATCAGAAAAAATAGTAATACAAATTACATCGGATTAAGAAACAATAAACACGACTTATAATTTTCTTACATGCCTCCTAATGGTCTTAGTGACAATTAAATTAAATTTATAAATAACCTTAAAATTCTCTCACAAGTCACAACTTGAACCAATCATATTAAATATAATACTCTCATATTTCTTATCATGTACTACCTCTAGTTCCAAATAAACTTCATGGTCTCCTTAGCTTTTTGAGCAAATTCAAAATTAAACTTTACACTTAATATTAAATATTCCGTAACCCTTATACCATTAATTTGTACTTATTTTACACTCATTTTCTCTCCCACTATCTATAATCTACTTTCTGTAGGGGCATGATGGAAAAATCAAAAGAATTCTTTTTAATTATTTAAAAACCATAAAATCAAAGTATGAAGTCTATTCGGAATCAGAGGGAGTACTATACTATACCCGCCAGTACTCGTTGGAAGAATTGAAACAAAAACATACATGAAAATTAGTAGTGTAATTACTCCGTATTTAATAATCTGGTGAAACCATCCTATATAACTATACTACGTATTAAGTAATGCTAATAAATGAGAGCAAAATATATAGTATGAATAGGTACGTACCATGGAGAGGAAAAAGCAAATAGGCCTCCTAGTTATCAAAGAGGGGATGCGTTGCTTAGCCATGATATGAACCAGCTTCCTCGTCTATCAGTTATA